TCGATGAAATTTGGTATAGATGTAGAGGATGGTCTGGAAGAACACATAGGCTACTTTCGATTTTTTTTGTAATTCCACGCGGAGGGAGTCGAGGACAGAAGCTAGTTAATATATAAAACAAATGTTATTTTATTGTTTATATTTGCAAAACTTTTGCTTGGCTAGTAATTTCCGTTACCATGGCAATCTTGCTTTGGTAGTTTTTTAATCAACTTTTTAACGTACTTTTCACTGCTGGAACATCAGTATACGAATAATATATATTAACGGAAATCACAGTTAAAATTTAAACCCAAGTTGATTCTTTCGTAAGATTACCAACTATAAAGTATCTTGTTACTCGAAAAAAATAACTTAACGCAAACATTTACACAAATACTTACATTCAATGTGATGATATTTTCATATGTATCCGCATCCCATTGCTTTATTTTTCCATCTTTAGAGGCTGTGAAGAAGTAATGTGTGGAGGGCACGAACTGCAGCGCGGTCACGGAGTCGTTGTGAGCGAATATCGACTTGTGGCAGTCTCCGAAGTCCATGCCCCAGATCTTAACATTGCGGTCGCCGGAACCCGTCGCTATCAGAGTGGAATCGTAGCTTATGTCCAAGCACAGCACAGGCAATTTATGACCGTATAAAGATAGATAGAACTGAAAAGAAAAATTTAAAAAAATCATTAAATTTCGACCTGGAAGCGTTCATAGGCTACCTTATTACACCACTTGCTAATGTGAGGAATAATTAATTTCATACTTTTCCACCAAATAACATGGCAATGGTCAAGAAAATGAAGTAAAGATTTAAAACAAAATTAAGGAATCTTATTTAATTTATATTTCTTCAGCTTTTAAGTGATTTTTAGGTTATTTTCTATTTTTATGAGTTGCAATTATCTCGTACCATTTACAAAGCATAAATTACTTAAAGAAACATAAACAAAAAAACGCAAACTTTTACTGACCTTGAAAGTGTCAAGAAAGAATATTTTGACAGTGGAATCCATTAATCCGACTGCAATAAACTTATTGTTAGGGCTGACTTTCACTGCACACACCGCCTCCTCCAACTCCAACGTCCTTGTATGGAGGAGGGAGAGAACCTGGATAAAACAATCATATAACATACAAAAATATACCTTATGTTTTAAACCATAAGAACTAAAAGTTTACCTTCGCCTTGGAGTCTCCAGTAGGGTCCGGTATGAGCTCGAATTGCCATAACTTCACTGTCTTATCCGCACCGCCCGTGTAGCATCCGCGCTGAGAATAAAACAGCAAATATCAATAAGAAGAAAACTTTAGAAATCACTAAAGTTGCACGCGTTTCATACACTCAATTATGATATTTCAACAGTCAAAATGTTGAATTAAAATTATGCATATTGACATTTTTTTTAACTGACAGTATAACTAAACAGTTAAAGCTTTGCTTAAGTTATTTAGTTTAAACTGAATGTATATAGAGGGTTTTAGAATCAAACTATATAGGGTCATCACTTCTTAGGGATCTACACAAATAGGTAGACCCACTGGTAACAATTTCGCTATAACTAATAATGTGTGAAACTGGTACGAATTTTAATACCCTCACACACACAACACACACTTAG